ACCAGGCAAAATTAAATCCACAGCACAAGAGGGTTCACGAGGCAAGGAAAGTCCAGGGTTCACAAGGCATGGTGTCAATCCAAAGCTAGGCAAGAATCAGAATGACCACAAAACACACAGCTAATAAACAAACACATTGTTCCCAGCATTGCCTCCATCTGCTGTTGTACTAAATAGCCAACTTCTGGTGCAGCCATTCAAGAAGGGCGAGGCTTTCTCATGAGTAACCTGGTTGATTTTTACCGCTCCTGTCTTTTCTCTGCCCTGCGTGTTCTTGGATCAGGTGCAGAAGGCAGTTCTTCTTCTTCATCCATGACCAGCTGCAGCTACATGCTTTCCCCATCTGGGCTGTCATGCATCAGGGCTGTCATGCTGCAGCTGGGCTTCAGTTAAATCACTCTTAGGTGACTATTTGGAGCCATTGACCAAACTCCCCTCCTGAGGAGCCAGGAACTGGTTCATCCTCCCCTGAGCTGACATCTGAAGAGGTATCTGGAGAAACATCATCATAGTCTCCCTCCTGGGACTCACCAAATGTAATTCCATGACAGATGGGACCACAGCATGCCTTCTCTGCCAGACAGAGAGAGGTGGTCTTTAAGATAATGTGGTGGAATCACTGACTAAAGCAGAGGAAGGACTAAAAAGACATTCCAGCATGAAATTGCTATATGAGAGGAAGTGACAGAGGCCAGACTATTGAAGCCTTTATCTGCAGTTTCACAAGGGACTGCAGTCTGGCAAGGTTTTTGTACATGGGTGATCAACAATAAAGAAAGTGCTTAGATCTATTCATGGAGTTGTTCTGGTTCCTTGTGCCTGACAGATAAGCTTGCCCCATGCCATGAAGGGATTTTAAAGTTAAAATTGGCACCTTGAATTGGACCTGGAAGCAAATCGGCAACCAATGCAGCTCATGGAGCAGAAATGTAATGTGTAGTATTTTAGGGGTGCACATAACTGCCTACACTACTGCATTTTGCATCAGCTGAAACTTCTGGGTACTTTTCAAGGGCAGCCCCTTGTACTGCGCATTACAGAAGTCCAAACAAGGTGAATAGGGCATGAGTGATAGTATTTGGTTGGAATTTGTAGACATTATATTGTAAAGACTGATTCAAATAGTGACATTGTTTGCAGATCAGATTTTCCCAGATCTCTGCATGTTTTATAGATTGCCTCTGAAGGTTTTGAAGGTCCATAGAACAGATTTAGTGTGAAAAGAAAGAGAAATATTAACAGAAATCCACTCATACAATGTTAGACAGAGTGGAGAGAAGAAAACCTGAATACTGTCAAAGAAAGTTAGACATGAACTGTTCTTTTAATGTGTTAAAATAACTACTGATACATTTCATGCAGCATAAAAAATACAGAATAACAGAGTTGGAAGTGACATTGGAGGTTTTCTAGTTCAACCCCCTGCCATATTAGGAGACCCTTACCATTCAGGATAAATGACTGTTCAATCTCTTCTTAAAAACCTCCAGTGTTGGAGCACCCACAGCTTCTGAAGACAAGCCATTCCACTGAATAATTGTTCTCACTGACAGGAAATTTCTTCTTAATTTAAGTTGAATCTCTCTTTGATAAGTTTTCATCCATTATTTGTCTTGCTCTCAGCTGCTTTGGAGAAAAGGTTGTCCTCTCTTCTGCGTGACCCCCCCCCCTCTCAAATATTGGAAGACTGCTGTCATGTCCCCTCTAGCCCTTCTCTTCGTTAGACTAGACATACCAGTTCCTCATATGTTTGAAGAACGCAACTGTTCATCATATGTTTCAGCCTCCAATGCTAGTCTAAATCATCTTTGTTGCTGTTCTCTGCACTCTTTCCAGAGTCTCAACATCTTTTTTGTATTATGGAATTTACTTGAGTTTATAAAGTTATACTTCTAAAAATTTATATTGAATTTTGGACTGTCAGATGAAAAGAAGGCTTAATCTGATTGTTTTCTAAATAGCTGAATTACTCAGAGATGGACATGCATGTTCGTTGTTAAAGAAGAGAGTGTTCCACTAGTGCAATATATTTGTAAACAGAATCAGTCTTTGTAAACGGAGCTTAATAGGAAAGACCTTTTATTGTGGGGCAGTGACCAACATTTCCTTTGAAGAGGTGTAATCAGAAGAACACTATGCCTTGCATGTAATTTTTTTCTCTGTGCCTTAATTCTGGATCACATACTTCTGCATTGAAGAAAACTGTAGATTACAACTAATGCAAAGAGATTGAGAATTCACATAATTATCTTTGAATAAAGTAGCAAGCAGGGCCTGCAATGACCGGGCCTTGCCTCTAGCATTGTCTGTCTATTGGGGCTATAACTCTGAAGAGGAAGCTGATTTACCCAAATAAGCATCCCATGCAGTTAGTAAGAAACTTGCTTAATGACATGAAAAGGCATGACATTATAAAAAAATATGTCCTCCTCTCTATCCTCCAATATGCCTGATACATTTTGAATACATTTAACAGGTTTTGTTTTTTGATTGTTTTTACATTCTTATATAACTGTTTAGTGCTCACAAAGGCAAAATATACTATCATGAATTTATTTTAACTGGCAAAAAATCCAAAGTAGCCGGTAGCCCCTTTTCTGACTAACAAACTTTATTAAAAGACATAGCCTTTTGTGAAGTGTAGATTACTTCATAAAATATATGTTGTTGTTTTTTTACTATCGGAGATTAACACAGCTCTCATCCTATAATGTTTGCCCTCCCATGGTTGCTTTTGGAAGCAATTTGTAAGGAGTAAATGACATGTGGAATAAAAACAAATGGATGCACAACATCAAGAGAAGTTTAAATATTCACTAAATGTTTGCTAATGTGAGTAACCGTCAGTTAATAGTCTCACAAAAAATGATGGACTGCCCTCAGAGGCGTTTGTGAATTCAAAATAGGAGTGTGGAATAAGAAGGACTACAAAGTTATTTTATGCAGTTTGGTCTAGTGGTTAAGGCCCAAGACTGGAAAGCAGGAGACTGTGAGTTCTAATCCTGCCTTAGGCATGAAAGTCGGCTGAGTGACCTTGGGCCAGTCACACTCTCTCTCAGCCCAACTTACCTCACAGGGCTGTTGTTATGGAGAAAACAAGAAAAGGAAGGCATGCTGAATATGTTCGCCATCTTGAGTTATTTGTAAAAATAGTAAAGGTGGGATATAAACAAACATCCATACTTAGGATGAGAATGTGACCCTAAAATTTCCAAGCTAGCTACATTATTTTGAATATGATACTATATTTTTTTATTTCCAAAGTACTGTAGTAATAGATATATTAGAAAACCTAACTTTCCTATAGCACATTATTTTACATTGGATTGGAATCACTATCAATATTTCTGCATGCCTCAAATCATATTTTTACTTTGCAATCATTCTCCTAGAAATGTAATAATAGCCAGCTGTTGGTCTGGGGTCCTTTTAACTTCCTTTTAAATCATGATTCTGCCTATGTAAATGCATGGAATTCAAAGTGAAAGCACTCTCAGTGAGTCAAGTGATCTTTTTAGCTTCCTGAGAGAATAACCCATCTCCTATTTAGATCTTTCATCTATTTAAATAAAAACAAGTCTGTGAAAAAGAAAAACTGATCAGGATTTCAGAAGACAAATGAGCTCAGCTGCTTTTCTTCATTTACTGTAGTACTGATATTGGCCAAATCAGGATCAGATATAGCATTCACTCTTTTCAAATAATAAAAAAAAGCCTTATTCATTCTAACAGAAATTGATGGCAGCCATCAATAGCGATACTAGCTGACATATTGGCGGAAGAACTGACATCTTAAACTGTTATTCTCGTACTTTACTCAAATAATCGTATCCTTTAACTTATTAAATAAAAATTAGAATATGAAATGGATACTAAGAAATACTGAGTCTAATTATCATTATTCTTTTTGTCAGATAATTGGCATTGCCGACTTCTTGTTCTATTGTAAAATTCCTGGATTGAAAGGAATCATGCATAAAAGTTTGGAGTTTATCCCATAGTCCAGTGTTTTTTGCTGAATTAATTGCTAATGATAGATCAACAAAACAGCAAATATGTACTTGTCTATGAACTAATTCTTACATTAGATGCTGCGAAATAAAGCCTTGATTTCTCACACTTCAGCTCTTTCAAAAGGCAGCACTTTGTTTTAGTTCAGATTTAATAGCAGTTTGAAAAAAATTAATCGGTATGAAGTAATCAAGCTTTATCATGTCAGAGATTAATTCATTGTATACTTGATCTCTTAAAAGGAAGAATATTGGGTCCAATGCACTCTTACATATTCAGTCTTTATCAGTTATATTTTTTTTACAGTAAAAAAATGTAAAATGTTAACATACAGTAAGTTTACCATATTTAAACTCCTGTATATATTTATTACTTTTGTGCATTTTTCTTTAATACAGGTGCATTTTGCATGCATTCTCCCTAATGTTTTTCTAGGTATACCGTACCTAATGTACGCAGTGTTATATGTTTTTAATTTGTAAATTGCACTGCAAATTTGGATAAATATAAATACCTAAATATTAAATGTATATATTTTTTCATATTTGATGAGGAACTGTGAACTAGCATTAGACCTGATTTAATCCTTCCTACATATTCCTGCCATGAAAGATTTTGATATCACCATATAATAATTGTAAATTTGCAATGTGCCAGGGTACCTTTTTGGAATTCAATGAAAAAATATATAACGTTTCTATTTTAAGAGCAAGGAGTACAGATTTTTGCCAGTTGGCAATGCAAACTTAGAGAGAAGATTGATATTGTATCATAATGTAATATAATGTAGATATGCAAAATAAATTATTATGTTTATACATTGTAAGATATTGGTAATTTATAACAAATGAAATCTGCAGAGGAAATTATACTTTATATATAAATTTTCCTTTTAAAATCCACACTGGAAGCCAGCAATAAAGTTTGTGTCATCCCTGCTGCTACTTGATTTACTGATAACTTTTCATATATTATGTTCCCTAAAATAGGTGCAGAAGATTATAAAGAGCCATTTTGAACTGGATTTATGAACCAAATAGTTTTACTTAGGACCATTATTCACTTGCATCTCAGATACCAACAGAGGTAAGAAAATTACACTGTGTGGATTTAGTCCTGAATTTCGTAGAATATAATGTTATAGTTGTGCAGGTTATCTTATTGCAAATGAGATACCAAAAGCGGGAGTACGCTTTTTTAAAAATGTAATGGTATACTTTGCATTATCAGGAACAGTAATTTTATATATATATATATATATGAAGACGTTCATGATGAGAACTTCTTCAGAACTATTTGTAATTTTATTGAGCAGAGCTAAATAAAACAGGCGATTTTATTTTTCTCTTTCTATATTGGTCAGTGCCTCCAGATTTCACAAGAACATACTGTATTCAACATCTGTTAGACTGACAGAAACATTCCACTATGGTTTGAAAAGTCTGGGCTTGCATTCACCCATGTACGTAGCTCCCCTCCAATTGCACACAGAAAGGAAATGAACACATTTTTGTCTTTTTTTTTTCCTGTGAATTGCTTCCCCATAGATGAGAATTTATTAAAAAAAATAATTTGTTTTCAAATTTGGAATCTTTATTTTAATGTCTGGTGTTAAATTTCAGCCTGAAGTAGGAATGTTGGTGGTAAAAGCAACTGTCTTGATAAGTTTTCTGTAAAGCCCTAAAACCTGTGTGATTGCTTGTTCCTGCCTGGCCTCAGATGGCTAATAAATGTGATGTTTCAGTCTCACCCACCCCCAGCGGTGTTCAGAGCCTCTCCAAGTTTTGGGGAGGGGGGGTAGGGTTGGGGTGGGTGGAGTGCATGCTGAGGGAAAGAATGGAAAAGCACATTAACATCCTATCTAGGCATTACATCCTGCCCTGGGTTGCTATAGCAATTGTCTGAAAAAGATAACAGAGCTGAGGTTACTCCTCCCAATTCTTCTGAGAGTGCACAATGTTCTTAGGGAATGGATATTTAAATGCATGCAGTAACAGCAAGTGAGTACTATTTGAAAAAAAATGTAAACAAACAAACACACGGCTGTTATTTTGATGAATATAATCTGGCTCCTGTCATGTTTAAACTTCCTGAAATGGCACAGGCTGAAAAATCAATGGAGTTAATGATAATGTGCAGGATTAGGGACAAATGCGAGACTGGCTGGGCCGGGCCGGCAGAGCCATTACAGCGGAACAACATATGAAAAGGGTTTGAACAACATATTTCAGTTTTCATTAGTGTTTTGAGTTGTGGTCTTTCTGTGAGTTGAGCCTCATAGAAATGGAACTATTATATCTTTAGAAAACGCTGAATGGTAATGAGTGGTCCACTAATGGCTTGTATTATAACCCATCCAAGAGGCAAGCATATGCATGCATTTGATAGGGCTAATTTAGGTTCTCGCGGTAGCGTTGATATAATGGATACTGCTGTGCTTTGGAAATCAAAGGTTTAATTTTCATGTTATGCAGTCTTTTCCAGTGAGGAAAAAAAAATGAGTATGTTCAAAAAGCTTAGCCTTGGTGTCCGATACAGGCACTGTTGATAAAGAGAAGCAGAAATTACAGCCAAACCTATATTGCCCTGAGCCTGAAGGTTAGACATTAATGGAGTAACTGAATGTTTTTTTTTTTCCCTGTTCATCATCCAAGTGGATGAAACTTGTCATGTCCAACAAAAATCAAAGGCACATTGTTATAGATTTTATAGATTTGACTGAACTGGGTGATATATTTTCATACTGCAGGAGAACACATCTTCTTGTGTTATTTATTAATATCTAGTGACTAAAATACATGAAAAAAAATGCCTTTTGCTAAATCAGACTTTTGTCTAACTAGCTTGATGGTCACCTGAGTTTTAGAGAGAAGTTTTTGCCACCTTACGTGAAGATTCAAGGAATTAAATTGACATCTTTGGCATGCAGCAGAGATGCTTTACTAATGAATTATAGCTATTTATTTATTTTTCCTTTTCGTTTGTTTATATTTTATCAGTTCGTATGGAGAAAAAAGCACTTATAAGTGCTTTTTTGCCCATATAAAATGAGAAAATGTAATTATTATGTAAAAAGCATCTTGCATTTAAAATGGGATATCGTATGCATAGGCCACTCGGTGGGAGGTAAAAAATGGAATCCTTCACAACCATTCTTACTCCCTCAAGACTTTCAGCATTGTGTATCATGATAGGTTGCAGAATTCTGATTCAAAATATTCTGATTATATAATGATTCTCTTGAGTATTTTGCTTTGCTTTTTTTTGTAGAAAAGTAAGATCAAAAATTGATGCAATTATATCGTCACACATGGAATACATATAGTACCTGTAGATAGAATCCCGTCAATATGGTATTAATTTTTCATTCAAACTGGGTTATACTTATTCTAAGAGTTTTCATGGTGGTATTTTGTCCAGTTTATTTATGCACACCAAATATGAGTTTGTAAAAACATTTTTGTATTATTACAACTGCTTGTAATAATTTCTATGGAACTATTAAAGTATGAAGTAATTTTAAAGTATGAGGAATTATATAATGTGCATTTTTATCCATGTCTTAAAATCTGCCTAAACAAATTTCATGAACAATTATTGGTTATGGCTAGAATATATTTTAGTCTTCAGTGGAAGATGTAAAGTACATGCAAGTAGTACATTTTTATTTTGAGTACTCTGAAGACAGTTATTGAAATCCTTTTGTACTGTGCTCTTTGATCTCCAGCTAAAACACAGATAGACAAGGACAGCTTGAAAGAGAAAATGATAGATAGATAGATAGATAGATAGATAGATAGATAGATAGGTAGGTAGGTAGGTAGGTAGGTAGGTAGGTAGGTAGGTAGGTAGGTAGGTAGGTAGGTAGGTAGACAGACAGACAGACAGAGAGACAGACAGACAGATCTTTTTAGAAACTGAATTCTTAGAATACTTCATTTCCATGGTTTTTAAATACAAAATAAAGCATTAAAATGCATTAGTCTATGATTTCCAACATAGCATCAATATTCAGTGGTGACTAGATATGGGAAAGTACAGTAAAAAAGTACTTGAATTTGGGATCATATATATCTGAAAGTAGATGTATTGATTTTAATGGAATTTATTTCCATGCTTTAATATTTCATTTTCATATTAGCTTTCCAGAGTTGTTCCTGAAAGTAATTCTGTAATTCCAATGGTATTATATGAACTCAAAATCAAAGCCTAACAAGGCCATTTAGTTTATTAAAGTTTATATAGAATTTTGAATTAGAACAACATTGGTATACATTGGCATCTATTGGAAAAAGAGCTAGTTAGCTTTTGTGAGTTGATATGGTAGATTTTCTTAGTATTCCTGTGTTTAGTGTTTTAGTGTGATTAAATAATTAAAAAGACATTTGGTAAGGAGGTAAACTTTTCCATTTTTCAGTGTCATGTATGTATGGATAAAATGATTTGTAACCAAAATTATTTAATACAAGGTACTGTGATCTTTGAAAAACATGTCTAAGCGACATATTGATTTAGGGAAATAAGTGTAGATAGATGGATGGATGGATGAATGGATGGATGGATAGATGCTTAGTGGTTACCAGTTAGTGTAGTCACTTAGTCAGCAGCTCGGGTTTGAGACCCAAGCACCACGCAATGGGGTGAGTTCTTGTTACTCGCCCAGCTCCTGCCAACTGAGCAGTTTAAAAGCATGCAAATGCAAGTAGCTAAATAGGCACCACTTTAGTGGGAAGATAACAGTGCTCCATGCATCATATTCACATGATCACAGAAATGTCTTTGAGAAGCACTGGCTCAATGGCTTTGAAACTGCAATGACTAACACAGTAAAATCTGCAGGGATTCCTTTAGCTTACCTCTTTCTTTCTTTCTTTCTTTCTTTCTTTCTTTCTTTCTTTCTTTCTTTCTTTCTTTCTTTCTTTCTTTCTTTTCTTTTCTTTTCTTTTCTTTTCTTTTCTTTTTCGTGACTTTCCTCTTTAAAGAGGATCGCATGGATTATTTCTCTGAAAACATTCTTACTGGAAGTAATAATCCTTTGCGTATAATCAAATATTATGCAACCATACTTTTTCAAACATCGAGAGAAACATAGTACAATAGGCAAAATGATGATGCTTCTTTTTCCATTATAATTTTCCCCTGTCGATTCCTGAAAAGCATTTTCCAAAAGGGAAAGAAGAGGAAATCCAACAAGCAGCCCCTCAATATGCATGCAGGTGATTGCCTGTGGAAGAGAAAGTTGAAATGACAATGTCGTGTCAATTTCAGTCCTATATGCTACTCCTGAATGATTGAGAGGGAGATGCAAAAGGTTTGTCCTTAATTTCACTTAGAGGACCTGTTAGATATGTGAAAAATCAGAAAAGGATGAAGCATATGTTGAGGAACAAATTAGAGGTTGTTGAATGAGGTCCAGCCCATCATTGGCATAAAAAATTTACATGAAAATGCCTTTAAAAAAAATCCAAAAAACACCTGAATCTTGGATATTATAATTCCTTCCAAATACGATGCTGGCTGCACCTTTATTTCTGAATCAAATTATTGATAGTCTTTTCAATTTCCTTTCCTACCACTCTTAGTTCTCTCTACCCAATAAAGGGTTTAGCTCTTTTGAGAAGATTATGTTCAGTGCAGTGCGGTCTGCACTCAAGTGTTTTATAAGTAGAATAACCAAAATTTAGATTTTTCCTTCTCTGAAGTTTAAAACATTTATAGGACATACTTAATCGTACCAATTTTTAATCCCTTTGCTTTGCTGCTGATTCCCTTGATAGCAATGTCTTCTACTACAGCTGATGCAATAATCGCTCCCTGCCTCCTCCATGCACCCTTTGGAGAAAGAATGGAGGACAGAACGATTGTTATGACTTCCTGAAATGCTTAAGGTGTATAAACATAGAGCAGCAGCCTTGCTACGGAAAATCAGTAGTATAGATAGGAGCCAAGAAGCGGAGTCATCCTGGTCAGAGCACTTTTCCTTTCTGTTGGTTCTCTTTAAATGATATATTCACTGATATTTTTTGAGTGCCTTCTGTTGTATTACACAGGCTTGCTGTGTTATGTATATCCCTAGTAATAATGCT